GTCAACTACAGAACCCTCAACAAGTCTAGTGCCTCTTGGAACTGATGCATGTAAATCGATAATAAATTCTATCTTACGTTACAAAGACTATGATTTCTATAAAAATGCGTGGCCACGGTAGCCTAGTGGTCAAAGTATCAGATCGTGGCTGGCGCGTCATGAGTTCGAGCCGAGTACCACTTAAGACCCGCCGAGTAGGGGAGCGGTGAACGTTAAATCTGTCGAGAGCTCAAATGTCCTCCCGTTGGTGTGGTGTGGTATTTAGGAGAGGGGGAGTGCCAGCTCAGGCGACGTCCTCGTCACTTGACCATAGTTCAAAATTGCGAAGTACGTCACCAAAAGCCCTCGTGTAGCTGAACAGTGTGCCGTTAATATTCACTCACCCATAAAAATGCTCCTAAAGATTTTCAAAAGCTATTCGTTGATAATCCTTTCGGTCACGGGTGTTCGATTTGGGATAGATTATTGTTTAGATATGATTTGAGAACGCCTGTTGCTGAGCAGAAAAATGTTTTACTGGAAATTTATTTAGAAGACATTAAAGAATGTTACAATTGCCGACAAAGTTTAAGTAGGAAAAGTATACTGAATTTATCAAAATATAATAGTTTTGTATACCCAGAAATTCCAGCATATCTTCCTACTTTGGATTTGGTATCAGAAAGACTCAATTCGCCACGAATATTTTTCATGCAAATTAGGCGGCTGAGACATGTACCCTGTCAGTTTGGAATATTAGAGCAAATAATCAATGTTCCAACGTCACCAAAGAAGTTTCATTTCTATCTTATGGCGTTCCACGGGCAATTTTTTTTCGTAGTTTGAAATTGTATTGCATGCGCAATAAACGTAGTCAATATTGATCATACACTATAATAAACAAATTAATTCACGAATGAAAAAAACAGAAACTAATTACAATTAACAAACTAAACAATTTTTTTTTTAAAAAAGTATATCAGCCAACGGAAATAAGAGCACCAGCAGAAAAGTAGCCGTTCGATGCAAGAGTTTCTTTGCAGAAACAGCTTCTTCCTCAGAGGACTACTTGATTGCGTCATTCCTCCAAGAGGGACAACGGGATGTTACCTAAAATCGCCATTGGGGCATTTTGACCCTTAGACGAAATTCTTGTCCAATCAAAATAAATATTTTTTTTATTGATTGGATGAAATTACAATATATAAGAGTTTTTAAA